GAGGGAGAGGGAGAGGAGAGGGAGAGGGAGAGGAGAGGGAGAGGGAGGAAGGAGAGGAAGAGGAGAGGGGGGGAGGGGGGTAAAGAATCCATTATTTGAAAGGAAAACAAGTAAACAAAAAGGGAAGGAAAAAAAAGACCTCCGACATGCGTGTATTTTCCCCCCTCCCGCGTCTTCTTCATTACCAAGGCATGTTCCTCCAGGGCGCTGCCTCCAGTCACTCGGCGGGCTGCCTGACTCTCCCCTCTTCACGGCTCTCTTCCGATCTCCCTCTCTCTCTCTCGCTCTCTTTCTCTCTCTTTTTCTTTCTCTCCCTCTCTTGCTCTGTCTCTCTTTCTCTTTCTCTTTCTTTCCCTTTCTCTTTCTCTCTCTCTCTACCCCCTCCCCCCATCCCCTCTCGCCCCTTTTGTCCTTCGCTTGCTGTCCTCTCTCCTCTCTTCTGTCTTTCTTTCTTTCTTTCTTTCTTTCAATCTTTCTTACTTTCTTTCTTTCTTTCTATATCTCTCTCTCGTTTCCTTTTTTTCTAACCCTCTTTCATTAGTCCTCTTTTTTTTCTTTTCTGACATTACTCCTCTTTTTTCTTTGCTGATCACCATCACTCTCCTCCCTCCCCTCCTCCCTCCCTCTCCCTCCCTCCCGAATCTCTTTCACTCAACCCTTCCCTTGTTTCCATCCTCTGTGACTTCCTCTCCCCATCCTCTGTCTCTCATCTCATCTCTCCAACATTTTCCTATTTTCCCATCCTCGTGCTCTTGTCATTTCATCATCGTCTGCTTTTCATTTTATATGAACCCTCTTCTCTTCCCTCTTTCCTCTCAGGTCATCGCCTCCTCCCCTCTTTCTCCCTTTTCTCCTCCTCTTCCTCCTTCGTTCTCCTCGTCTTCGTTTAAATTCTCTTCTCTTCTCTACTTCTTTTTTCCTCTCTTCTCTTCTCTACTTTTTTTTCTTCCTCTCACTCTTCGCCTCTCCTCCCGCGGTGCCAAAATATTCTCTTCCCCTTCCCTGTCTCCTTTTTTCTCCTTCGTTTCCCCCTCTTTTTTATCATCCACTCTTCTCTTCTAACATCTTTCTTTTCCCTCCTCCCACTCTTCGCCCCCCCCCCCCGTGTGAAAATATTCTCTACTTTTTCTCCTTCGTCCCCCCCCCCCCCCCTCTTCTTCATCATCCACTCTTCTCTTCTTCTAACATCTTCCTTTTTCCTCCTCCCACTCTTCGTCCCCCCCCCCCCCGCCGTGCGAAAATATTTGATCCTTCCTGAGCGCGCGGCGTGTTAATTATTTCCTCTTCCTTCGCCTTCCGTACGCGGCGGCGACTCTCGTTGGGCGCAAATCACGCGTCCCGCCGCCAGAGGGGCACGCCCGCAGGCCACGCACCTTTTGCTGCACCTCTCCTCTCTCTCTCTCTTCTCTCTTCTCTCTCTCTCTCTCTCTCTCTCTCTCTCTCTCTCTCTCTCTCTCTCTCTCTCTCTCTCTCTCTCTCTCTCTCTCTTCTCTCTCTTCTCTCTCTCTCTCTCTCTCTCTCTCTCTCTCTCTCTCTCTCTCTCTCTCTCTCTCTCTCTCTCTCTCCTCTCTCTCTCTCTCTCTCTCATTACATACATACATACATACTACATACATACATACTACTACATACTACATACATTACATACATACCATATATCTATATATATATACATATATACATACATCATACATACATACCATATATACATACATATATTATATATATATATATATTATATATATATATATGTATATATATATACATATATATACATATATATACATATATAATACCTTATATATACATAGGATATATGTACATATATATTGTATACATTATATATATATATATATATATATATATATATATATATATATATATATTATATATACATATATATACAATATATACTATATATATACATATATATATACTATATATATATATATATATAATATATATATATTATATATATACATATATGTATATAAAGATAATAATAATATAGATAATTTAGTGCTTCAGAGACAATTAGAAATAAGCTAGAGAGAGAGGAAAAATAGTGAAAAAAACATAAAAAACAGCAAGATTGGAGTGAATCTCTGCAATAAATTCCCTCCTGGCGAGAGCACCCTCCCTAGGTCCTTCCATTCCCCCTCTGTTGCAAAACTTTACTCACCCTTTGTTGCAGCGCCCCCTCGCCCCCCCCACCCCCACCCCCCCGGAGCAGCGCGTTTCACATCGCACTCGGAACCCCCGGCCCTTGGCACTCTCACCCCTTCCGACTCCTGCCTGCGCTCTCGCACCCCGTCGCCCCTCTGTAGTCTCTCGCTTTCTTTCTTTCGCTCTTCCTTTTCTGCTTCTGGTTCTTCTTCTTCTACTTTGTTTCTCTTCAGCTTTGCTCTTCTTCTGTCTTCTGTCTTCTTCTTGTTCTTTTCTTTTTTTTCTTCTTCTCTATCAATCTCCCTTCTTTTCCTCTCTATTTCATCCCTTCTTCCCTCTCTATTTCATCCCTTCTTCTCTCTCTATGTTCTCCCTTCTCCCCACTCCATTTCCACCATTCCTTCCCTCTCTCTCTCCCTTGCTTTCCCTCTCCCTCTCCCTCCCACACTCACTTTCCTTCATCCTTTAACCCTTTTCTCCTTCCCTCCTATCCCTCACCTTCCCCACCCCACCCCCATACATACGATTCTATTTATTCTCCATTTTTCTAATTTATAAAACACGTGATCCCCTGCCCCCACCCCCCACCCCCACCCCATCCCCCATCCCCACTCCCCACTCCCACCCCCGCACTGGGAGACTCAGTCCTCCGTCGACCCGAGAATCACCATGGGGACAGCCAGACCCCGCGGCGCAAACGGAGCTTTCACTCTTCCACTCACTCGCTCTCTCGCTCTCTCGCTCGCTCACGTTTACGCGCGCCGGTCTTGATTGCTCTTTCGCTCTCTCGCTTTTCGCTCTCGCTCTCGTTCGCGTTCTCTCTCTCTCTTTTCTCTTTTCTCTCTCTTCTCTTCTCTCTCTCCTCCTCTCTCTCTTTTTCTGTCCTCTCTTTTTCTCTTTTCTCTTCATCTCTCTTTCTTTCATCTCTCTTTTCCTCTCTCTCTTCTTCTCTCGTCTAACAAACGCAAATAAATCAATTTCTTACCTTTCATAACTCTTCTTTCTTATATTGCTTTTTCTCCCCCACCTCTTCTTCTATTTTTTTTCTTCTATTATTCTCCTTTCTTTGTTTCCTTGCCCTCTAATCATCCCATCTTCTCTCCCTCTCCTTCTCCCGCCTTTTTATCAGCTTCTGCTCTTCCTACCAAATCGTTTTCGGAAAATATCAGTGAATTAAAAAGAGCGAAAGGGGAGAAAGAAAAAAAAAATATGTGAAAACGAACAAGAAAGGAAGAAAAGCGTGAAAATAAATGAGATGTGCAGACAAGAAGACTATATCATAGGAAAGATTATGAAAAAAAAGAGTGAGCAAAAAATAACGAGAACTCTTTTCCAGTTTTTTTTCTTTGTCCACTCTTTATTTATCTATCCATTTACTTATTTATTTCATTTCTGCCTGTCTACTCTTAATTCTCTTGTCTGCCTGTCCGTTTGCTTCTTTTCCCTCTCCCTCCTGTTCTTCGTTCAATCTTCTCCTTCTCTTGCATTCTTCTCTTTCTCTCCGTCAATTCCTCCCTTCTTACTTTTTTGCCTTCTTCCTCTCTCCCTTCGCCCCCTACCCCGTCTCCATCTCTCTCTCTCTATCCTCTCTCTCTTTCTTTCTTTCTTTCTTTCTTCTTTCTTTTCTTTCTTTTCTTTCTTCTTTCTCTTCTCTCTCTCTCTCTCTCTCTCTCTCTCTCTCTCTCTCTCTCTCTCTCTCTCTCTCTCTCTTCTCTCTCTCTCTCTCTCTACTCTCTCTCTCTCTCTCTCTCTCTATCTGTGTCTGTCTGTCTGCCTATCCATCTGTCTATCTGTCTATCTCTCTGTCTCTCGGTCTCATCTATCTTCTCTGTCTCTTTATCTATCTATCTATCTCTCTATCTCTTTATCTCGCTATCTCTATATCTCGCTATTTCGCCATCTCTCTATCTCGCTATCTCTATCTCTATCTCTATCTCTGTATCTCTGTATCTCTTTATTCTATATCTCTCACTCACTCACAACTCACTTGCTCACAACTCACTAATACTCACTCACTTACTTATTTACTCACTGACTCATTCTTTAACTTTTTCTCTCAATCACTCTCGCACTCACTCACTATCTCACTCATTTCACTCACTCACTCACTCACTTATTTACTCACTCACTCACTCTTTAACTTTTTCTCTCAATCACTCTCGCACTCACTCACTCACTCAACTATCTCTCATCATTCATCCACTCACTCACTCACACTCTCCCTTAATCAGTCTATCTATCCCACTCCCCCCCCCCCCCGCCCTCGCCACCCCCCCACCCCGGCTCGCGCGAGGGGCTGCGTCCGGGTCCTCCTTGAGTGCGGGATCTTCCCCTTTAACTCATTCCTCGCCAGGACACCTCGTCGGCCCTCTGCTCCTTACCTCGTGCCCATGCCTTCCTTCACATCCTCACCCTCGGCCCTCTCGGCCTCATCCTCACCCTTGGCCTCATCCTCATCCCTAGTCCTCGCCTTCATCCTCACCCTCATCCTAATCCTCGACCTCATCTCCTTCCTCCCTTCCCTGCTCTTCCTCCTCTTCCTCTGTTCCCTGCTCTTCCTCCTCTTCCTCCTCCACCTATTGTGCCTCTCCCTGACCCTTCCCCATCACCTCTTCCACCTCCCTCACCCATTCCTCGTCCTTCCTAATCTTTCCCCATAACCCCTAATCCCATCTCCCTTCCTCCCTTGTCCCTATTCACTCCCCACGACCTCCCCTTACCTCCATCTCCCATAATCCAAAATACCTAAACATCCACAATAATCCCTGAATTCCAACATAACCCAAGCCCCTTGAAAAAAATGCTGGATGGATCCACGTTGTCAATGGGACCCAATGACAACTCGAGTCAATGGCAACTTGAGCCAATGGCAGGTCGGACAGGTGGTGGTGGAGGTGGTGAA